CTCTAATGGCTAACGACGACGACTCACCCGAACCCACTGACTCACAGCAACAAGAGGATGACCAGAGTGAAGACCAACAACCACCCAATGCAGACGAAGAAATCGACCCCGACCATGACTCGGACTCGTCCTCCGAATCCTCCGGCGCCGATTACTACATCTCCGATTCCGATAACGAAGCGGAAGGAGACACCGGCGTTCTCAACTACGTCCGACCAAGCGACGTAGAACCTGATTTCAACGCTGACCCGGAAACCAACATCCGCCGAATTAATCGCGTGCTCGAGGGCAAGCGCATGAAGCGTTTGCAGGAGGAAGAAGAAGAGAAGTACACGTTCTATGAGGATCTCTTTGATTTCCCCAGGGACCCCGAACGTTGGAAGGAAGAGGATCTTAGAGAGATTTGGGCTGATGCTCCATTGGAGATGACGAAACCTGGTTGGGATCCGGTTTGGGCTGACGAAGAGGATTGGGAGATTGTTAACGATGAGATTCAGGAAGGTCGAGATCCTGGGATTCAACCTTTCTATGTTCCGTATAGGAAACCTTACCCAGCGATTCCAGATAATCATTATGATATTGATAACGCTAAAGCTGTTGTTGAGGAGCTTGATAGGATTGAAGAGTTTCTTCAATGGGTCAGCTACATTTTCCCTGACGGAAGCTCGTATGACCCCCATTTTCCCTCTTTCTCTTTCTTCCGATTTGGAGCATGTTTGTTCATTTTGATGGTTGTAGTTGTGATTTAGGTTCAGGGTTTATGCTTTGATTTTGGCTGGTTTATGCATTCTATGTTTCATATTGTTCTTATCTAAGTAGAATTTGGATTCTGTGAAAGAAATGGCGGTGCAGGTTGATTTTTAGGACACTGGAAACTTTCTAGAGATCAAGTTCAAAGATTTTCTTCATCTGTTTGGTGTGATAGGTACTTTCATCTTCAGTAGCTTCGTGTCTCACTATGTTCTCTCCTTTCTTTTTGGCTGAAGGTATGAAGGCACTGTCTGGGATGACTTGGCTCAAGGCAAAGGTGTTTATATTGCTGAAGATGGGCTTGTTAGGTGATATTTCTTTTTCCTATTTTTACCTCTTTTTTTTGTTCTCGTGCTTAATGTTTTACATTGGTTTTTCAGTGACCCAAGAGATTTTTTTGGTGTTGGCTCTGTATTTGATCTTTAGGTATGAGGGTGAATGGCTTCAGAACGACATGGAAGGTCATGGGGTTGTCGAAGTTGATATTCCTGACATTGAGCCCATCCCAGGTTCCAAGTACGATTATCGTTCCTATTAGTCTTACTAGCGGTTTCTATGGACATAGTTCTTTATGTAAGATACTGCTCCTTCTTTCTATGTAGGCTTGAAGCTAAGATGCGTGCGGAAGGAAGGATTATCAAGAGAGATTATATGACTCCAGAAGACAGAAAGTGGTTGGAAATGGATATCGAAGACAGTGTTGCACTTACTGCTGGGAATTACCAAGTTCCTTATTATGAAAACGAAGAGTGGGTCACGCAGTTTGGCGAAAAACCGTGAGTTTACAATGATAAGATCCTTGCTAGATGGCTCACATCTCAACATTGATTTGACTGGTTTGGGCTAATTTGTTGATTTATTGACCTAATGAGATATATTGTTGGACTAGGCGATTTCTTGGCTAAAATAACAACCAGAACACATGTAGTTTTAGTTGTTTTCCTCTCTATGATTTGTTTACACAATTATATGGTTTTTATACCAGGGAGAAAGGTCGGTATCGCTATGCTGGTCAATGGAAGCACGGTAGAATGCATGGGTGTGGTGTCTACGAAGTTAACGAACGTATCCTATATGTGAGTAATAAGAAAAATTGGTCATTTACATCAGCATTCTGTATAATCTGATTGATCCTAATATCGCAAGATTTTCTTTAGCGAACATTCGTGTTTCTGACACTAATTCACATCTTAATGGCAATGCAGGGTAGATTCTACTTTGGGGAGCTATTGGAGGAGGAGCATGGCTGTACCGCAGATATTTGTGCGGTAGTTACCCATTTTTTCTTTATGATACATATATCTTTCAGCAAAGAAAGAAGAAGGAATGATAAATATAATGATGTGAAAACGTTTTCAGCTGCATTCTGGTTTGGCGGAGGTGGCTGCAGCTAAGGCTCGAATGTTTGCAAACAAACCTGATGGAAGTATTGCCCCTCTTTTTTACCATTACTTCTGTTATTGTTATGTGATTAAAGTATAAGCCAAGACATATTAAAGAGTTTGTTTGGTTCTTTTAGATCAGGACCTTGTTTAGAAACCATCATTCTGTTTCAAATATCTATTTCGCCTTTCTGCCAAGCAATGTCTAGCTTATGAAAGAAGAGAAAGAAAACTGGTCATTTACAGAATGTTTTTTTTCTTCTTCTGTATTTGCAGTGGTTAGAGAAGAGAGGGGCCCATACGGTGATCCTCAACATGCTTATTTTTATGAAGAAGAGGATGTGTGGATGGCGCCGGGATTCATTAACCAATTTTATGACGTTAGTAGATTTTTTTATCAAGCTTTTCGAGTTAGTTCTCTGATCACACAAGGGACTTAAGAATCTGTCTTTCTGGTAGGTACCTGAGTATTGGGAAACCTACGTAGACGAGGTGGATAAAGAAAGGGAAATGTGGTTGAACTCTTTTTACAAAGCTCCATTGAGGTTACCGATGCCTGCTGAGCTCGAACATTGGTGGGAAAACGGTAGTGACCCTTAACGTTTGTGGTCTTACTTGGTTGAATATGTTCTATAGAATTACTCTGAGTGTTTTATTTTTCCTGATCAGTGGAGGTGACACCTGAGTTTGTCTTACTGAACAAAGAACCCGAAACTGATCCGAAAGATCCTTCGAAACTTCTCCCCCAGGAGGACCCTGTTATTTTACATACACCAACAGGTCGAATAATCAACTATGTAGAGGATGAAAAGCACGGCATTCGACTATTTTGGCAGCCTCCTCTGGAGGAAGGGGAAGATGTGGATCCTGCAAAAGCTGAGTTTTTGCCACTTGGGTATGACGAGTTCTATGGGAAAGAAATGGCGGTGAAAAAGGAACACCCGATAAAAAGATTTGTACTTGATATCGAGAAAGCTGTGAAGCCGATGCTTGAAGGATTAGAGAAATGGGCAGAGGAGAAAAAGAAAGCAAATGAGGAAGAAAAGGAGATGATACAGAAGGAGCTTGAGTTAATAGAGGCTGAGATTTGCTTAGAGGAAGCCATAGAGGACATG